ATTCATCCAGATAAATGATGTAATCATATTGTGCAAAATATATTGTGTAACTGCAGAGTATTGTGTCAAAATGATTGAGTTTTGCATGACACATTGCCAGTAAGAACTGTGACAGAAGATTAACGGATTTTTGAAGCTGACCAAGGATTATTTAAAAGCATTTAAAGAGAAAAGACACTGAGCTAATCACTTGCTCTGTTTTCTTGTGTATTGGTTTCCTTTCCAACAAAATATTCATTTGAAATAATAGTGAGAAAAAAATATCCAGTGCGTCTTAATTGCCTCCAGTGTGCCGCAAAATAATACAAAACAAAAAAGGTAAATTGTTCCTGCTTGCTCAGCTTGTTTTGCTTTGTTCTTTGTTATTTTCTCATCTTAGCCCCCGTTTGCTCTGCAGCAGGAAGGATTTGATTAAAAACACAATCAGCAGGATGGCAGGCCCCGCGCCTTCTAATCAAACCATAATGGGAGTTTACCATGCATTATCTCTGACTGGGATTTAATGAGACTTTAGCAAGCATAATCGCAAAGTGAAATTTAATAGCAGCATCCAGAGGGCATTCGCTATCCCGTCTGCATCCCATCGCCGTGAACGAATGGGAGGAAACAACCGCGGGGGAAAGGTGAAGCGAAACTTGTCTTGGAAACATCCCGGCAACAGATGTTGAACCTCTGTTTTGTTGATGACTTTCCATCTAGTTGCCTTGCCCTTGAATGTGTGTTTGGAACATGAAGGTGTCTGGATGAGCAGAGAGAGGCTGTTCTTCAGCTACAGTAGTGCAAAGTGTTTGAGCCCCTGTGGCAGCGAGTGTCATCCCACTCAGATGTCCTTGAACAAAATTGAGAGTCCTGTGCAGCTCCGGTGGCAAAAAAAAAAGTTGCTCAGACAGTGAAAAATTGTTTTGTTTTGGAAAACAATAAATGCAACACTCGAGCCTTTCCCATTCTTTGAGCTCCGCTGTGTTTGTGAACCTTTTTTTTTTAAAGCTGTTACTACAGTAGATTTTGTAGTAAGCACATGTCAGCAGCGCACAAAAAAAGGCCACACGTTGGAGAACATGTGACAATAATGACCTTTGGAGTGAACAGCTCGAATGTGTGTTGATGCTTCTCTGATCAAAGCTGTGTCGGAAACATTGATGAATAATTGATTTTACTCTAATGGGCACATTTTTATTGTGTGTTTAATAATGGTGTGCATCATTATACTGTACTTTTGCATTGCAAAACATGCGCACGTGTGTGTCTATGCGCTGTTATTTTTCTGAATAAATCATGATGTTGTAAATTCAGAAGATGGGCAGCCCCAATTCCCCTTTCCATGTTTCCTGCAAGTGTCCATGTTACGGTATATTCAGAGGACTCTGCTGCGTATTAAAATGGCAGGAATGTCATCACCTCAGCATGTCAGCCTGTCCATAGCTTCACCGCTAACATTATTTCTGCAAAACTAATTAGCAATATCATATCATCATCCACAATCCCTAGAATGCATGACAGGCAACCAGGAGGGGAGTGTGAATCTATTAATATTTATGGATCCATTTAGTAGTGAACAGGAAAAAAACAGACAAAATTAGCAAGTCTAATGCTTTGCACTGCGAAGGGGTGGAAATTGATATACTATGCACTATCCAAATCATTGGTGGAGCGCTGCCATCAGGGTTGATTATAGGGCTGAGGGGTTCTACATTTACCTTGTGCTGTGCTCCGCATTCAGAATAGGATGTGCCTTATGAAGCTGTATAAACTACAGATGGCTGGGGCATCTGCATTATGGCATTTGTCTCTTTCTCTCCTTCTCCTCCTGTCTCATTCTCCATCCTACCAACTTTTAATGAGTCTGTGTACGGCGGTGATTAGATTTAATGAGGTGCCAACAACCTTGGATTGACTCAGCTGAGCTGCAACGCTCTCATTTATTTGTGATAGACCACAGCCAAGCCTTGGACCGTATGACAGAGGCCCCATGCAAGAAAAGACAGGATTAAAGCTTTCAAAGTGTGTTTGCTTCCCTTTGACTTCAAGCCCTGTGTAATTGGTAGGAATGCCAAGTCTTGTCTGGAAGATTTAAAGGGAGAGACTTTCACATTAGCATCTGTAATCAAATTTTGTTCTTTTATGTTACCAGGAATTAGACCGTCTCAAAGATATCAAAGATGACTTTGAAGATGGGAAAGAGCTATCTGGGGAAATCCAGGGACAAGTCAAGAAGAAACAGAGTTTCTGATCTATTATAGCCAGCGCATGCAGATGGTGTATTCATTTTTTGATTTGTTGCACATTCATTTTATGGTTTTGCTTTGAATTTAATTGGCCGATTATCACATTTTTTTAACTCAAAGAACACACAAGCAACACTAAAACACCTCCAGTGGAAACATTGAATAAACTTAACAAAGAAGCTACACCCTACCTAACAGGCTGTCATGCTCATCAAATTGGTGTAGTGCAGTTTCAAGGGAATGGTGGAGTCATAATGCCTTGTCACGCCGACTATTCAGACAAGCTGCTTTCGTCTCTCTGCGCTCAACAAACCAGTGCTTGTCAAGCCATAGGCTGGTATGTCTGGTGCTGCCTATCCACCAGTAATGAGCTACTTTTGCGAAGCAGCTCCAAGTCCATGTTTTGAGGGGGAGGTACACTCAGGCACACACACACACTCCATACACAGTGTTGCCATGATCCCTCTGTCCTTGATCTGGGTCATGCTCTCAGCAGCTGAGAACAGCTCTCATTAGTGTGTGTGTGTGTGTGTGTGTGTGTGTGTGTGTGTGTGTGTGTGTGTGTGTGTGTGTGTGTGTGTAGGTGAGAGAGAGAGAGAGAGAGAGAGAGAGAGAGCACTCATCGTGTGCTAGTTACCTGCGAACACCAGAATGAAAGCACCAAAAATGAGGCTCCCCTGATGTGAAATTCATCTGGTTTTACTGACAAGCAGTAGGGATGGAAGCATCACAGATAATGAATAATAACACAAAGTATAATGCTGCAATATGATGAATTCTCCAGAAAAAACATGCACAATCATTCATTTATGTAAAAACCTTTACTCCTCTGATCAATAAACGTGCTGCGCCGAAAACTAATGTCTTTTTATCGTCCTCTCGACAGCATTAAAAAAGGGGTGTAAAATGTGGACTAGCATTGCAGTGACCTGCCGGTGACCTGCTGTAAACTTAGTCTAAATGTTGTTTTTCCAATAAACATGGGACTAAAATAATGACGTGCATTTTTTAAATGAAAGCTCATTTGAAAAACTTGTTTTTTCTTTGTTTCGGTGGTTTTAACCTGGACACATTTATGGGATTAAAATGCATGTTTGACATGTAAATACACTGCTCAAGAAAATTTAAGGCTAGCTTAAAGAATAGCTTTTTAGCATCAAGTCAGTCAGAGATATTGATCTGGTCAGTATTTGAGTGACTGCAATGACATTTCAGTAAAATAGACCGGCTTGCCTCATCTTTTCTTTCACTTCAGTTTTTTGTCTTTGGATTTAGCCCTCTGTTGATTAATCCTTTAAATTTCTATCAAGCAAAGTGGCATCAGTTTGTTCCTCACACAATACCCAGTGCACATCAGTATATATGCATTTTGAAAGCGTTTCCTTTAATTATTTTGAGCAGTGAATATCTCGTTGTAGCATTTTTTGAATGTTTAAGTAGACCTACAGTAGGTGATCTGATTTTTGCACCACCATCAGATGAAGGTTTTCCTGGGAGAAATCTCAAATATTTTAATAACTTGATCAACCGTTTCTCTCACATGTCACATGAAGCAGAGCCTCGGAGAAATATGTTGGATCCATGTGAACAGATTGCTAGGAATAATGTACACTCATAATTGTATGAGTTTATTGATCCCCTGCTTTTAGTCCTTGCAGCAGTAAGATGTCCAAGAACTAGATGGATGAGATTTTTTTTCCCAGCAGCCATTTAGACAAGAAATATCTGGTAAACCCAGGTGCTTCATAGCACATAAATTTAATGCTCTGTACCCACTGAACACCTGTGTTTACCTGCTATTTCATGGCAAAGTGGCTGCTGTGAAATAGGCCTGTCTGGAGATTAGTACTGACCTCCTCGGATGAACGCTGGACCTTTGTGCTATTTGAAGATCAATTCTTTGAAAATTATGTTTTAAATCTCCTTAACTGTAGAAAATGATAACAAGGTTACATGCAGAACCAAAAAGGGTTAACATTGCAATCTTATACATGAGCACATCGGCACTTAGGTCTCTTGAAAATGAGATCGCACTTAATGAATTTCTCAAGAGACCACCCTCAAAAAGGTACAATGGTGGATGTTTTTAAACACAATCTATGCAGGTTAGGAATATTTTTTCATTGGTAAGCATCTGCCTGAGGTTGAAGAAGGGCAGTAATTGTGAGGGTGGAAGATAGCGATATAAAATGATCTCAGGTTGTCAGACCGTGAGGGAAATGTATCACAAGGGGATGAGAGCATGCCCTCTAATGCCAAGTGCAGGCAGTCTTTCACTGCAAGCCACAACGATACCAAATCCTTCCCCTCGTTTTTTTTTTTTTATCAGTTTGGGAGGAAACTCTTAGCATCGCATTACATCCTTTAATTCCTTTGTTAGCTAAATCGCTTTTCCATCCTCTCTTCTTAAGAGGACACTCATCTTTCTTCCTGACTTATTCCTTAGGATGCAAACCATTACTCCTAATTCTGCCAGCTAAGAGATCACAGGTCACAAGAGAGGCAATGAAGAACACAGCAGGACTGAGATATGAACCTACAGGCCTACATCAGCAGATATTGAGACTATATTAGAAAATTTTAGCTTATGTGTATCATGGCAAACCTTACAAGAGGTCTTAATGGTGTCAAAAAATGTTCAAAGAGATTTTCAAAGAGCCAGAATCATTTCAAAAAGGCCAACACAGGCTGTCCTTGCTGCCATGTCCTTGCAGAAGCAGTCAAACCAACTGATTAATGATCCAGGAGTAAGAAACACACACAGAGGCAAGCAGGTACTTTGGGAATCAATTCATCACACTTTATTTTGTGTGACCCCAGCTGATGTACTGGCTAGAGAGCAGCACAATACATTCTCAGCACAAACGCAGCAGTGCAATATAGAACACATAAACCTTCGCTCACGCACGGCAGTGTTATCGGATGATGAAACCCACTGATAAGATCTCAAAACAATCATTTCTACCTGGATTTTATTGGAGTGAGTACATCTTAATAGAGAATGGGGGAAAATAAGAAAGCGTGTGTGTGTGTGTGTGTGTGTGTGTGTGTGTGTGTGTGTGTGTGTGTGTGTGTGTGTGTGTGTGTGTGTGTGTGTGTGTGAAATTATCAGCAGAGCAATCCTTTCTCCGTTGCTTACATTTCCCTATTTACACTCAATAAAGCATCAAACTGCAGCACAACACAGTGAAGGACAGGTTTGGGTTGCCCCGTGCTATGATTAGATTTACTGAGGATGCTAATTTGAGAGGGTGCCAGAGAGGTCACTAGGCCATTCCCCTAAAGACTTCCAGATGCTGGTTGAACTGGTCAGCACTTTCTTTGGCTGTAAGAAGTTGCTTTTCACACCAACCAACCAGAGCCTGCTGCAGCATTTCCACGCGCGCTCCCTGAAAACGTACAATCTGAAAGAATCACGTCACATCAATATTAATAGATGCAGAAAATGCATGGCAACAACATGAATTCAGCAAACCAATCCACTGTGGAAAGACACGTGAAAGTGTGGAATGCAGTTATTTATTGTGGACTTTACCTCCTGCTTAGCCACTCCAGAAGTGTGCTCAAACTCAGTCTCTGCTGCTTTCTTCACTTCTTCCATCTGATGAATATGAAGCGCATGTTATTATCATTAAGTCTACATCAGAAAGCCCACAACAAATGCTGTTTCCTCTTACTAACAGATACGTTGCTGACACCTGCTGGTTACAAGAAAATGTGCAGATCTGACCATGCTTTTAAAGTATGGGTGCAGACACTCACAGCAGCCTTCTTTACAGGTTTCGCCTTCTCTACGTTCCTTTGGGCATTCTCTAACTCCACTAGTTTGCAGGTTCTCCTGAAGAGCATCTCCTTTATTGGACATAATAATTGTGTTACACGCTGAACAATTTAGTCACAATATTCACTCCAAACATGTTGCATCTAACCAGAAATCTAAGATTCAATATAGGAAGGAAGGCAGCATGTATACGATGAGCATGAAATGATTGCAGAACTAGAAAACACACCCTTTCCGCCTCCTGATAACGTGACTCGAGGTCCAGGCCCAGTCCAAGAGTGTTCACGTTGTTCTCAGCAACACTCGTCATATTTTTCTGCCCACACACAAACACACGATGCGGCAAAGCACAAGTGCACTGCTGTTTGTGATGCTATTAGAAAAGACAAACAGCTTACCTTTATAGATTCAAACACTTCTGATAATTTCACACAAACCCTGTAAGAAAAGACACATATATACATGTATGCAGCTTTATCACAACTTATATGAATCATTCAGATGCTTTTCCTTTGAGTACACATGATAATGGTGTGAGTCCAGTACTAATGTTTTTTTTCCAACCTAGAGAAAGCCTGTTTGTCAGGATCCTCGCCTGGTTCCACGCAGAGATGCAGAGCAGTTGAGAAGTGTCCACAGGCCACTGCTATTTCTGCAAGCAAACAGAGCACTCTAATACAACACATTGGATGAATTCAGCTGACACTGAGCCCCAAAAACATGTGTACATAACACCATAATTATCATCTGCTGAATCTGATCACACAAATCTTAAACAACATCGACGGATCAATTCTTTTTCTGTGCTTTCACACTTATATAATTTTCTTACTTTGCTCTGTTGCCACCACATCTAGGAATTTCTGCAAGAAGAAGGGAAATGTTTGGAAATCAAACTAAGAAAAGGAGACGACGACGACAAATAAACAGACCGAGAAGCAATAGGTGACCGTCTCACCTCAGCTGCAGTCTTGGTGCAGCCGGTTAGAACGAGGTTATGATCCCGTTCATTCTGAAAGAACTCATCCACATCCTGCAGACACGTTGATAACAGCATTAACCCCCCACTTTCTCTGGACACATTCTGCCTATATATGAGTCCCAGATGCGTACCTTATGTCCTTCTTTTCTCATCTCCTCCACAGCTTGACTCAGTCTGTTGAAAATGTTCTTCTTTACTTTCTGTCTGCCTGGAGGCTGAATGTAAGGACATAATAAAAGCTTAAATCATTTATCATTACACAGAATATCATAACATATCACAGCAAATGGCATTTTGTTATAAATGTCCATTGAAATATGCTGGTAAAATGTACAAGCTGAAAACTATTAAAGCTTAATAAAATAAACGTTTGGCCAGAATTCGACACACAGGAAACAAACGTATCATCGAGATGTAACACACGCAACACTGACTTTATATATTTCAAGATACTACGTTCCTTCTACATGTGTCTGTACAAGTCTTGTGCTGACCCTCATTTCCTGATATTTTGTGTCCAAGTAGCCAGACTTTCTTGTCATTTTTAAGGTTGTCCTAAGCAATAGTTCTCCAGGCTTTCTGAAAATCTTTGAAAGTTTTTCTTTGGGCACTGGTTGCTTTTTCACTCATTTTCAGTACAGTCCTTGTACCTGACCATTTTGAGAGAGATATCTTTATTAAGCCACTTATGAGTGGCCTATGAATAATTCAAGCATAAAAAGAGCACCTAATTCGAGGGTTGAACCAGTGTTGGGGCTACTTGTGACAAAAACACGTCATTTGTTTCCACTTCTTCAGCTGAATTAATGAAAAATATCCAAAGATAACAGTCTGACAGGCCTCAGTGGCAACAGTTCTTATAAAGTGAATGTCTATAGCCAATGTAAAACATGTAAAACAAGGTGGAACAAAAGGCGGGCAACATCCAAAGAAGAGCTTTAAATGTCTTTAAAGAAATCTGGACAACTGAACACTACTTGAAGAAATGATAAGAAAGCTTATCTAAGAGACTTCAGGCTGTGTTGAAGACTAAAGGTTCTCATATCAAATAGTGACTATCAATCTTTTTAGAATTGTACAAACTCTGCTTTGGCTTTATAGACTGTATTTCCATGTATGTTTGTGCATTTGTATGACAATTTTCTACCTTCTTTACACTACAAGCCACACTGACCACAGTTACAGTGCTTCTTATTGTATATGCAGTGCTATCAGCATCACACACATCTAACCACTGACCTGATTATTAGACACCCTGCTCTAACCCAAACAACCACCTTCTTGTAACAAGAACTGTATGCTGGCTATTTACAGGGTGATATCTGACTGATGTGAATTCATCAGTAGAGGTTACATACGCAAACTCTCACCCTTTTAAAAAACTTTTCTTTTGTGGATACAATCTCATTTGGAAGGCCATATATATTTATATATAAAGAGCCGAATGAATGAGTACTGTCACATGGATCTCTATCACGTTGGTGAAAGTTTAACCATTTATTGTCAGTCTCCCGCATCACAAGGTTTCACGTGACAACCTGTTGTAACATGAGATTCTAGCTCTAAAGTTGAAGCTTGGCAAAGCTGCCAAAAAGCTGTTTCTGTTCACTTACATCCGAGCTGGTCAGAAAGACCTCCACGGCTTTATTTTTGCTGAGTATGCTGTGTGCAGCAACCTGCTGCAGGAACGTTTCTAATGCTTTACAGTAGGGCTGACACTCTCCTAAAGCAAGGAAACCTGCAAGCAAACTATTGACATTTTAACCACACCACTTCACATCACATTTGACACTGTACATCAGAACTGGGAAGTGTTTGTCTTTGTGCACAGGCAGTCTTCAGATGTACTCACCAAGCTGTTTTATAGATCTGGGAGATGCATTCACCTGGGGCTTTGCAGGAAGAGGAGGGAACTTGAAAAAGAAGACAATATTATTTTATACAAAATTTTTTATCCCATTATTTGTCTCTTAAAACATGTCTTAAATACGAGCTTGTGAAAGTTTCGTGCATTTTAAAGTTACTCTGTGCTTAGATCCGTTGCGATATGCAAACTCTATGCACTATATCAGATATTACACAATGTGCTTGTGTAATACATTACAAGGAACATCAACACACACTGTCATAGTAGGAAATAACATAAAAAAAATACACCCTGATGGTGTACTGTTGACTTTCTTTGAAAAAAGTAGTCCCTACATTGTTTACTTAATTCCCCACAGTACTGGGGCAGCTGGCAAAAATAGCAACGATAAAATCAGTTGATTACAAAAGAGGAGGACACAGGAAGGAAAAGCAGGAAGGACTTTAAACCACAAAAGCAGTACAATCATAGCAAGAAGAAAGTACGCTCTTTTAATTCTTTACATACCAGGACACAATAAAAGTCATCTGGTCCTTGGCAGGTTTAAATAATTTAACTTTAAACTCATCATTATCATTATTTAAACACAACCTCAAATACACAATAATACATGACATATTACACTGTGTCTTTATTCATTTAACCTTTGTGTGGTGTTCATGTTTTGGCTACTCAGCCCATGTTTGTGGGTCTGGGTGAATCCAGCGCATTTTGGGGGTTTTGAATCTATGCAGCCATAGAACTTTGTGTACAAATACTTAACAGATGTTCACTTTATCCCAGTTCCAAGAAATTCATCAGAATTGCATCAGCAATAGTGGTTGCTCATCAGTCTGGGAAGGGTTATGAGGCTACTACCAGAGAATTTGAAGTTCATCTTTTTTTCTGTGAGAAAGCTTATTGACAAGTTCAAGCCATCTGCCAATATTCCCAGGAGTGGGCATCCCACCCAGCCCACCAGGGCTGACTGCAATCTATGGAAAAATCTCAAGAGCTAGCCTTTTAAATGTTAAAGGTCAGGAGTAAATTTAGAAAAAGACTCAACAAATATGGGTTGTTTGGAAAGTTTGCAAGGAGAAAGCCTCTTCTCGCACAGCTTAGCATTGTTGCATTAGTACAAATCACAAGACTTTGGGAACAATATCCTTCAGACAGACAAGGCCACAGTGGAGATGTTTGGCCATAATGTGCAGTGCCACATTTGGACAAATAAAATCAAACACAGCATATCAAGACAAACACCTCCTAACAACTGCTAAACATGGTGGTGGAGGAGAGATGCTTTTTGTACACCAAAGAATTCTAGAGTCAGATGTGAGGCCATCTGTCCAACAGCTAAAAATGCCCCAAACTGGGTCCTACAACAGGACAATGATCCTGAGCACAGAAGCAAATCTGTGACAGAAGGGCTAAAAAGGAAAAGAAAGAAAAGATGTTACAACGACCCAAAGTCCAGACATCAGCCTGACCTAAATGCTGTGGTGGGACCTTAAAAGAGCTGTGCATAAATGAATGCCTAAAAATCTTGATGAAATTACATTATAAAGAAGAATGGGTCTACATTTCTCCACAATAATGTAAAAGACTGACAAAGTCTTACAGAAAAACATTATTCCAAATTATTCCTGCCAAAAGGTGGTTCTACAAGCTATATAATCAACAGTTGTACTTAGTTTTTCTCACACTGCTTCTGCTTGGCAGAGTTTTTGTTACATAAATGATGTCATTCTGTAATATGTCATGTGCTATTGTTCATGTGAGGTTGTACCTACCTGATTGAAGAACTTCTAAGGACTGGATAATTTATTATATCCTGACATTCAAATACAAGAACTTAAAGAGGGTTTACTTTTTTTTTTAACCACGACTGTTTCTTGGATAGAAACACCACACAAATTCAACATTTGTGGCACTAAAGCCACCAGTACTCCAGCCCTGACCCTGTTACTGTCAAATAAGCACATACAAGCTACATTAAAGAATAACAAGTACTGACTATGACTCCCTGTATTCCTGGCACATCCCCCTGAGAGAACAAGTGCTGCTGCAGCCATTCAAAATCCTCATAGGTCCGGTCCACATGGTATTCCCCTGTACCAGAGAGCTGGAACAGAAAGGAAAGACAACCAACTGCTTTTGGAAAATCATAATTCAAATAAATAAGCTGACAGATTCTATGGTTCCTGTGTCATTTGCCTGGATCTAACCAGATGACAGTCTAATGAATCTCACCTTTTGAGATACGATGATAAAGGTGAGAGTGTCCCCGTCTTTCAACACCTCTGTAACTTTGATGCTGTCGTCATGGACACTCAGAACAGATGCAGTTTCTTTCACTTCTTCCTGCAATTAAAAAAAACAAAGCGGTCAAAAGCAGTACAGCACAGCAGAAGCAGTCTAATGGTATCTGTACAGGCTGAGATTAAAGTCGCTTTCATGCTCAAACTAAATTTAAAGGGAGAAAAAAAATGTAATTCAGCACATACTGTACTCATGTCTGCGAGGAGTAAACGCCTGTCACATGACACTCAGAGGCTTACAAATCCTGCAAAATCTACAGGCGTACTCACCATCATTGTCAGCTTTGCAAACTAGCAGTCTGTCTTTTATCTGCCTTTGTGGTTTGTCCTTTTAGCGTGATAAAAGTACATAAAACTGGAAAGAGCTCTTGCCTGTTGCCTTTTAGTCTGCTCGAGCTCCAAGTGTTGAGAATGCACAGGATATCCTTTGGGTCAAAGTGCACAATGGTCCCATGAGAAATGGAGTAAAACTGTGCCAAATCTAAAGTGCTGGCGCAAGGAAAAAGATGAGTAAATGGCGTGTGAGTAACTCTGGACCTTCGACACACCCACACAGGAAAAGTGGCATAACGGCTCAGTCGGTTATCTAGCAGCCAGCCTTACAACCCCACAGCTGCTGAATTTATAAGTGAGACCATAAAAGGGGGAAGAATGTAAACAGGTTCAAAGGGTCTGTTTAGGTGATTTTTTTTACATAATGAATACAAGAAACAGATACTGAGAGAGCATTTTAGACAGAATACTTTATTATTGATAAAAGAAAACATGCTAAAAGGTAACAGTCATTCCAAGCACAGGGAGAAAAAAACTTTTAGAAGTAGTACTCTTCTTCATATTCATCTGGATCTCCAAAATAAAAGCTAAATCTTTCCCCTTCAAAACTGTAGTGATCATAACGACCATCCTCCTCATCCTCTTCCTGGTGAAAGCGCCACTGTCCACCAAAGAGACTGTCATCAAAGTCGTGGAAGAAGTCTGGGAAGCTGAAGTGGAAGCTTGTCTGATACTCATCCTCAGGCTTGAGTAGGTCCTCATTTTTCAGGAAAGCTCCGTGGCCCACATGGTCATACGCCCTCCTTTGCTCCTTGTTTGAGAGGACTCTGTAGGCTAAGGAAACACAGTTAGAGGGGAAAAGGTCAACTTTGGTGATGGAGGCGTTGTGGTTGCAAACAAGCAACCACAACGCCTCGGCACCTTGCAGTCACTGACTCAATTATGAACTAGTCTGTGTACCAAAGTCCTCTAGAGTCAAATAGTAAAGCTAAAGCTGCCCAGACACCAACCTGTGTGAAATGTTAGAGAGTAGTGAGCTACATTTAACTAAACTAGCAGCTTAACTTCATTTTGCAAGAGCCAGCTGGCCTCCAGTTATTTACATCTTTTTTTTTTTTGATGGGAATAGCAAGTACATTTTTGCACTTTTGCCAGGAAGAACAGCGGTTTTTTTAATCAGGGGGATTTTTTTTTCTGAAATCACACATTCCTTTAGTTTTTAACATAATTTTTAATTTAATTTTAACCATTTTCAAACCTTTTTTCTGAGTAGTTTCAGTTAATTAAACTCCATTTTGTGGCTTTGTTGTTCCTCAGCTTCTTCCAGAGTGAAGTAATTTTCAGTTTACTACAAAATATTATACTAATGATAATGATGATAATAGTAATAAAACTCCTCACTTATTTACACTGTAAAATGTAAACGTTTCCGTGTGTCGGATGAAGCATCCTTTCATCCTTTACCTTCAGCAATCTCCCTGAAGGTCTTCTCAGCATCTGCGCTCTTGTTCTTATCAGGGTGGTACTTCACGGCCAGTTTTCGGAAAGACTTTTTTATCTCGCTGTCCGTTGCTGTTGGCTCAACATGAAGAGTGTCGTAGTAATTTCTGTTTATCACTTCGGACAGGGCTTCAGATAGACAGAGCAGCAGAAGCATGCAGAGTCGCAGCCAGTAGGAAGCACCTTGCGCTGCCATGTTGAGGAGCGCCCCAGCACAGAGAGCGTGAGGAGGAACTCAAAACAAACGTCGTCATGTGCACAACAGTTTATCTGGAAGTGTGGCAGACCTTGTGGTTTAGCGTCTCATTTTCATATCCACACAACGCCGTAAAGTCTCCAGTCAGCACTGCTTGTAGTAAAAGTACACCAAAAGTATCAGTTGTTGGTGTATTTACGACAATTTCTATGGAGCTTACGACAAAAACTGTGATACACGGGCACGAAAGAAAAAGTGACCTCGTTCACAGACTGTGCAAGACTCCGTGAATCCAACTTTACGTCGTGCACGAAATTATTTCGTGGTTTTAAAAATGAACAAATTGTGAACACGCTAAGGTGGTGTTCCGCATTTCCACCAATAGAGGGCAGAAAATCCCAATCAGCGAAAAAATAAGGAAGACGCCGGCGCTCTTCTTCGTTGGTATTGAAAGCTGCATTAAGAAATGTGGTAAACAGCACCAGGGCCTCGAGGAACCGCTAAAATAAAGCAAGTTTTTTTGCTTTTGTTAGCAGCGGTGTCTGTTGACTCAGTTAGAGGAAGTTGTTTCTTCGTGGAAGCTTCTCAGCTGTACTTTGGAACCTTCTCTATCCTTCGATTTGGTAAGACTGCAGTAGTACCCAGTTAGCTAGATGTTCGCTAGCCATTAGCTACCCAGGGTAGACGACGGTTTCGTAGTAACATTTAGGCTAACTTATTCTGGAATATAATATAATACGACAGAGTATGCATTATTTACTGGTTGAAATCCGTTGCATTCAATTTAGTTGATGTTTTGTAGTGTTTTACCAAAGAACCATGTAAACAGAAGCAGGGCTATTTATTGTTTACGATGTGTTGTCACGTGCTAAATTTCTGTCCTTACCTTGTCTAAGGTAATCATATACATGTCCTGTTGTCTTACATGCCGATATTCAAATCTCCCGTTTTAGTTCTATCGCCAGTATCTCATGCTGGGTTCGTGTTTTTGTCTTGCAGGTAATTAAACAGCAGATTGCAATACTTCGAGTGTGAAGAAACAATTAATGACTACTTCTGTGTATGTGAATGTTTGCCAGCTCACATTTGCCAGTCCCAAACACACATGAGTGCTCCTTTCTCCTTGAGCTGGGCCGAGCGCCATGCCTGACCGGGACAGTTCCTACCTGTCAGGTGGTGGTGGGAGTGGTGGTAGTCTGGGTGAAGAAGGGGGACCCGGGTCTGGTTTGGCAGGGAGTGCAGCAGAGGGCAGAGGAGGTTCGGGAAGTAGTGTCGGAGGAAGCGTCTCTGGCTCTGGGGGTATGGGTGGAGGAGGAGCGCTCGGAAATGGCAACAGCTATGGGAACGGTGGAGGCCAAGGTGCGGGACTGGCCTTGGATGGCGTCTGCCGGGACTTCATACGCAATGTTTGCAAGAGAGGAAAGCGCTGTCGCTTCAGACACCCAGACTTTAACGAGGTACCAGACTTGGGAGTGCAGAAGAACGAATTCATCTTTTGTCACGATCATCAAAATAAGGAGTGCATGCGCTCCAACTGTCGCTTTGTCCACGGATCCAAAGAGGATGAGGACTATTACAAGAAGACGGGAGAGTTACCTCTCAGACTAAGAGGGAAAGTTGCTGCACGGCTAGGCCTCTCCCCCATGGATCTCCCCCATAGCCGTGGTGAGGTTCCCATCTGTAGAGACTTCCTGAAAGGAGAGTGCCAGAGGGGCAATAAATGTAAATTTCGCCATGTCAAAAAAGACTGTGAATATGAACCAACCAGGGTTGGAGTGGGTGGCGTTATGGGGCCAGGTGTCAGTGGCATTGTGAATGCTGTAGGAGGCATGGGTGGAGGAGGAGGTGCTTGCGGAGGAATGCAGGGACTTGTGGGAGGTGGCGCAGGGGGTGGAGGTAATATGATGGGGACCGGCTGCCCTGGCTTGGGTGGTTGCAGAGATCCAGGTATCTCAGGTCTTGGAGGAGTAGGAGGAAGTGGAATGAGTGGGTGTCTGTCCATAAGTTCATCTGGACAGCGACGTTATGACAGGAGCACATGCTCAATGTTTGATCCTCTGGTTGAAAGTGGTCTGTTTGATGCTGGTTGCCTGGAGACCTCTATGGACCACACCACTTTACAGTTAAAGAGGCGACGGTTGGAGGGGCTGCGTCTGACAGATGGGAGTGGAGGTGGGCACTACGAGTTGGGAGTTCAAGCCACCTTGCCGCCTCGTCCTCTGGAGTACAGATTTCTAGAGGAAGAAAATTCCCTGCTAAGGAAGAGAGTGGAAGAATTGAAAAAGCAGGTAGGTATAAGAATCATAATATGACTTTCTGGGAATGGAGTCATGCCACTGATGCAGAATGTAAATGGCTTCAGTCATTTTTTTTTTTTTACTGAGATACATGCAAAACAAGCATTGCCAAATTCCAACTAAACGGAAACTTTATCGAGGTGTTTTATGACACATCCTGGAAAGATTTTTCAACATGACAGGTTCAAAGAAAACGCCGATCCAAACAGCATCTCAGCGGTATATCCAAAAATCCACCAGAATGTTCGTCCCATGTTTGTTAGAAGTGTGATTAGGTGTCTGCTGACAGACTTGTATATTAAAATCCCAGCGATCAACAGTTTACATTAACATTACAATAAATTTTTAAATATAAGGTGAAAGGAGTTGGTGACAAAGGGGGACTTTATTTCATGTAGTTACAATTAAGCAAACTTTGCTGATCTAAACAAAGAGTCATCCAGGAACCTATTTATGTGTTGCTTCTTTGGAGGATGCTAATGACACATTTTTGTGTTGCTGGGCTTTTTTTCAACATTTAGATCCCATCATATCAGATGGGATCGAAATGTTGGAAAAGAACCCAGCAACACACTGTTAAAATGGTCAATGTTATTAGTAAGAACTGAGATCATCTGATGTCCAAAAGCACAGAGTTTAGACTGCTGTAAATGCTCTGCCTATTGAGTAGAATGGTGGACTTGAAGGGGAATGAGCTGAAATTGTTACTGAAGAGTTAATATGAAGTGAAGCTGTGCAGGAGTAAATGGGGAAGAATTTGTTTCCCCTTTAGTCACCTGACAAAAAGGCTCACTGGATGTTTTGGGGGTAAAAGGAAAAGACACTCTGTAACATCATGAGACACGCAAACACTCAGATTCTGCCGTTTTTAGCCTTCTGTCTCTGTAAAACTATGTGATAAGTTAACACGAAGTGTAAGACTACTTGTAAATGATTTCCTTTATATCTTTGCGTATTTCAAATATTTAATGTCTCTGTGTTTCCTGTCATGAACTTTCTGCCTGTTTATACTAAACTCTTTCTTATGTGTTTTTCAGGTTTCCAATCTCATTGCCACAAATGAGGTTCTCCTGGAGCAGAACGCCCAGTTCCGAAGCCAAGCCAAAGTGATGACACTGTCTTCAACTCCCGCACCCACTGAGCAGAATCTGGCGCCCCCTGTAGGTTCAGTGAGTTCCTACAACCATAGCATCGCCCAGACTCACACCACCTTGAGCAGTGCTCCATTACAGGCTCGGCCAGTCACCCAGCAAGACCTTGTAGCTCCCGC